GGAGGAGGAGAGAGCACCAGGAGGAGGAGGACGAGCAAGACGAGGAGGACGAGAACGAGGACGAGCAGGAGGAAGAGGAGGAGGAGGAGGAGGAGGAGGAGGAGCAGGAGCAGGAGAAAGAGGAGGAGGAGGAGGAGGCAGGCTGAGGCTGAGGCTGTGACTGCGACTGCCGTTGCCGCTGCGACTGTCATCGCGAATGCGACTACGACTGCGAGAACAGCAGAATTCGACAACTGGATTTTCATCTGAATCTTAAGGGGAATGCTTTCAGATATGCTTCTACACATCGCTGTTAGGTTGCTTTGCCGGGATAATCAGGCGTGTGTCCGCTTGGCCCCGCATATCTCCCCTGTTCCTCCTTCCTCCCGCCTCCTTGTACATCCTCCTTGTGGGGGGAGCGGGAGAAGGACGAGGCGGAGGAGGAGGGAGAGAAAGCGCTCCTCGTGATTTGAGTCGTTTGGGGTTTCTCGTCCTGGTGTGAGTCGTTCGGGCCCTTCTTCCTGGTGTGAGTCGTTCGGGCACTTCGTGGTGTGAGTCGTTCGGGCTCTTCGTCCTGGTGTGAGTCGTTCGGGCTTCTCGTGGTGTGAGTTGTTCGGGCCCCTCATCCTGGTGTGAGTCGTTCGGGCCCCTCCTCCTGGTGTGACTCGTTCGGGCTCCTCGTGGTGTGAGTCGTTCGGGGCCCGCGTCGTGGTGTGACTCGTTCGGGCTCCTCGTGGTGTGAGTCGTTCGGGCGCCTCGTCGTGGTGTGAGTCGTTCGGGGCCCGCGTCGTGGTGTGACTCGTTCGGGCTCCTCGTGGTGTGAGTCGTTCGGGCGCCTCGTCGTGGTGTGAGTCGTTCGGGGTCCTCCTTCTGGCGTGAGACGTTCGGGTTCTTCGTGGTATGAGTCGTTCGGGCCCCTCGACCTGGTGTGAGTCGTTCGGGCTCCTCGTGGGGCCTCTTGGCGGCCTCTTGGAGCCTCCTGGGGCCTCTTGGGGGCCTCTTCGGGGCCTCTTCGGGGCCTCTTCGGGGCCTCCTGGGGCCTCTGGGGGCCTCTTGAGGGCCTCTGGGGGTCTCTTGGGGGCCTCTTGGGGCCTCTTGGGGGCCTCTTGGGGGCCTCTTGGAGGCCTCTTGGGAGGCTCCTGGGGGCCTCTTGGGGCCATCTTAGCGCCTCTTGCGACCGCCTCAGAAGCGCAAAGAAGCGCTGCCCCCTGAAAAGGACAAAATGAGCCCAAAACCCTCGTAAAATCCATGATTTTGCTATGAAGGAAGATGAGCGCGGCCCCCTCGGGAGGCCAAAATGGGGCCAAAACCATCGTAAAAGCAATGATTTTGGCTTAACAGAAGAGGAGGGTACTACAAGAGGGTCCCCCCGTCGGAGCCAGAATCCTCGTGAGGGTCGTCGTTTTTTGGCCCTCCCAGGCGTCGAAAAAGACCACCCTGACGACCCGCGGGCTCCGCTCTCCAGGTCCAGGGGGAGGGGGTAGGGGGAGGGGTAAACCCCTCCCCGAAGGGGAAGAAGGGGGGGTGGGGGGTTGAGAACAGAGAAAGCTCGCTAAACCACTCACGCCCAAAGGGCTGGTGGGAATAAACATAAATTGTCAGGGCTCCGTGCGGATGTCTTGGATCTGCGTTGTGCCCCTGTCGCGCCCCGCGCGCCAAGAAAGGAGGGTCCAGCACAGATCCAAGAAAAATCCGCGCAGACCGTCGAAAGGTTATGCCGATGCCGTGTTTGGTTCCTCCATTCTTTCTTGCCTTCTTCCCAGACCCCCTCGCGCTGTGAAAAACACGCGACGGGAGGTTTTCCACTATTGTCAGCCTCCGGGGGCCATCGCCGGGCCTCGGGACCGTCGAAAAACGACTCGGGACGAAACACCGGTCCCCGGCACAGGGTCCAAACCTCTGGGGGTCGATCTGTGAAACAGTCACGACGTCGGGGGTCCTCTGGCCACCGCAGTCCGGCCATCGCACCGAGTCGACACTCTGCACGCGCAAAATGGGTACGGAAAGAATGGGTACAATGCCCAACAGCAGTTCCTGTTCATCTTGAACAGGGCTCGCTGTCCGCGCCGCCGCGGCCTGTGTTCGTTCGAGACAGGAGGCCGCCTGCCCAACAGCGGCCGCTGTTGGTTTGGGACAACATTTGCTGTTGGGCATTGTACTCCAGATTTCGTAATAAAGGGAGGGGGGTCTCATTTCGGTGGGGGGTCTTTTCCAAGCTATCTTGGAGGGCCTGGGGGGGTCTGGGGACGATGTTTTGGAGGGTTCTCCCACGGGGGGAGGTCTGACATGGCTTGTCTTGGAGGGTCCAGACCCCCTCCCTTTTATTGCGAAATCTGGAGTACCCATTTTTTCGGTACCCATTTCGGGCGTCCAAAGACACAGGCGGGTCGTCGATCATCGCGTGTTCGCACCCTCGCTCGTCTCTTGTCTCGGCGGCGAGGCCTGGGGGGGAAGCGAGAGGGCGTTGGCCTCCTCGGGAGGCGGCGGTGTCTCTCAGACCCGTCGCGCCTTGTGAGAAGCCGCGGGTGTCTTCGGAGAAGGCTTCGCAAGTTTTTCAGAAGGCCCGAGGCCTTCCGAGCATTCTCAGACGGCCCTGGGGCGATTCGAGGGCCTCCTGGACCGCCTTGGACGCTGTGCCCAAGAGACGAATGACAGTGCGCGTTGCCCCTCGGGGATGAAGCGAATTCACCGACCCAGAACAGCTCATGACTCGTCCGGTCAGCGAGTCTCGCCCCAGGCGATAGAGGTGAAGGCGGACCCCAGGCGCCCCGCTCTGCTCCCTGCGTGAGCTGCACGCTGGTCTGCTGCGGGGTGGTGGAGGGAGGGCGCCCAGACCTCGGGTCGAACGAACGGGGGGGGGGGAATGATCAGGAGCGAAACAAGGACGTACATGTACATGAATCCACGCTGGTTTCGAGAGCACGCATTGCGCAAATGTTCGCATCACGCGGCAGGTCTCGCGAATCGCGGGGCAGTGCTCATGTACACAGCTGGGCGCGTACGTCCTTTGTGGGCTCCCTAGGATGGGGAACCGGGCGGGGCCAGGACAGAGAAGGATTGCAAAAAAAACCAAGGATTGCAAAAAAAACCGAAGGATTGCAAAAAAAACGAAGGATTGCAAAAAAACCGAAGGGTTTTTTTGCAATCCTTCGTAAAACCGAAGGGTTTTTTGCAATCCTTCTCTCCACGGCGATCGAGCACGCTCTCAGAGCGGTCCGGCACGCTCTGAGAAGGCCGCGGCGCCCGACACGCCCGATGCATGGTGGGCTTGTCTTCCACCGCCACCGCCAGAAGTGGGAGGGGGAGGGGGTCCTCCTCCCCCCCTTGTTCCTCCTCCTCATCATCATCGTCATCATCATCATCATCATCATCATCATCATCATCATCATCATCATCATCTTCATCATCTTCATCATCTTCATCCTCATCCTCATCCTCATCCTCATCCTCATCCTCATCCTCATCATCCTCCTCCGCCGCCTTCCCCCCTCCAACTTCTGGTGATGGTGGTGGTGGAAATCAGGCCCATCAATGCACCCCTGTCCGAGCTTGTCCCTGTCCTGGCTTCGTCATAGGGAGAGGGGTGTGAGGGGGGGGGCGCGATCTGGGGCATGCAGCTGGCTTCGGCGCCGCCGCCGGGCGTGTTCCTCGGTGCGCTGGCGCCTCCGGCGCCGGGAGGCGCCGAGCAAAGCCAGCTACGTTTAGTACGGTGGGGGCCCATGCCAAGAAACACCCTGCTTGCCTCCAGGGTGCCCTGGGTTTCGATGGCTTTGCGGTGGAGAGCGTGACGCTCCAACACCAAAGATCAATAAACGTCCTGGGGTCTCGGGGTTGGGTTTCTTGTGGAAGGTTTCTTGTGGTCGGGCCCCGCCACGTTGAGGGCCCCCACCTTCCATCCGTTCCGGGGGACCTCTGGCGGACCGAACAAAAAAGGGCCAGAGGGTGTTCGACCTCAGCGGCACCTGGAGGCCGCCGATGAAGCCCCGAGGCCATCAAATATCAGATTCGGGCCGGACGAAAGGTCAGAGCCCCGAATCATCAGGGGTAACTCGGGTCAGGGCTAACTCGGGTTCCTTTTTCGGGAATACAAACCCGAGTTACCCCGGACCCGAGTTACCCCGGATAACTCGGGCGCCCAAAAAGGGGGGGATTGGGAAAGGGGGGGTTACGAAATCTGCTGCATGCAGCTAGTTTCGGCCCCACCGAGGGGCCCATTCCTCGATACATGGCCGCCTCCGGCGCCGGGAGGCGCCGGGAAAATCAGCTGCGTGAGCCGATTCTCAGACACCCCCTTTGCTATCCCCCCCTTTCGCCCGACCCGAGAAAGGGGTCAAGAGCTCCCTGGGCTTGATCTCGAAGAGTCGAATCGTCGGAGGCCTGGGGAACAGGACCAGTGGGTAGAGGGAGAGGGGATGCTTCCGAGCCGAAGGAGTCCTTATCTCTTGATGGTGCTCAAGGGCAACCTAAAAACGCTCTGGGAGCCGTCTTGCGCGTTGGGCTGTTGACAGGCTAAACACGCTAGAGTCAACGCTACGTATCCTTGGTTGAGCATGTTTCACACAGTGCGTTTTGCGTTTTTAGGCCCGTCGTTGTGGATCCTTATTGTCGTTAACGTTGTTTGTTTCCTTGTCGAAGGCTGTCCCTTGTCTTCTACAAGGTCTATGAATTCAGCCATCGCTTATCTAGAGGATGTCATACAAAACTGTATTGGAGAAGGCACGCCGAACACCGGTGCCGTGCAAATTGCTCAAGCAAAAGGTGCTATTGTATGGAAAGGCGGCGCGTGCGTTGGAGGGAGACGAACTGAAGAAGCGCACTGTCATCCCTTGCACACGCACGTCGGCCACAGAGAGGGTTGTCAAGAAGGTTGGACGCCCGAGGAATGAATGGGTTGGTCAGGTCGCCAAGCGCGCTGCTGCGATTGGAGAGAACATTCACTGTGAGTCCGGCTGGAGGGCTGGCGCGAGCCGACATTGCATGTTTTGGTTGCGGCTACGCGCCTTTCGGCGCTCGACTTTGAG